TTTAACGACAAATTCCTTCTTTCTTATAGTTTCATTTATATCAGGAAGTTTTTGTTGCTGTTGTTCAGTCGTTCATTTGTGTCCAGCTCCTTGTGACCCCATGAACCGTAGCATACTAGGTCCTTCTGTCCTGTACCATCTCCTGAAGCCTGCCCAACCTCATGTTCCTTGCTTCTATCACACTATGTGTCCATCTCATCCTCTGTCATTCCCTTTTCCTTTTGCCTTCAGTCTTTCCCATGATCAGTGAGTTCTTTCTTCTCATTCTGTGGCCAAAGTATTTAAACTGCACCTTCAGTGTTTGGTCTTCCAATGGTCTGAGTTAATTTCTTTAGGTATTTGACTCTGCTTACTTCACTCAGCATTTTTTCATATAGCTCTTTCCATGCTTCTCTGTACTCATCATACACATAATTTCTTCTAGTATAGTATTTTTCCATTCCATTAATTCATTCATTTCTTGAAACATGATATACCCATTTTTATTTTGAACAGATCATGACTTTCAGGGAGTCTAATGATTTGTAGATTTTTTTTCTCCTTGTTTTTCATATTAGTAATTTTTTATGTGAGATAACCTTTTCCCTATTTTTTCCCAGTCTTTTGACTTTGTTGTACTATTTTTGGTTTCAAGGAGAATCTTTAACTTCTGCTTAGCCTAGTATAATTTAAATGTCATCTGTTACTTGGTTAAAGTCATGTGCCTCTTCTATTAAGTGGTTAATCCTTTTTCTAAGATTTTCTTCTGGTGCTTTCATTTCTTTTCTAATTTATTCCTTAAGATATCTCATTTCATTTATAATATTTTTAAACTCTTCTTCATTTCTTCCAGAAATTCAAGCTGACCTTTTGGCCAAGCTGTATTTTCCTTTGAGTGGTGTTATTCACTTCTTTTATTGTTGTTATTGTTTTATCTTGGCTGTTCTTGACTCTGTAACAGTTTTTTCAAAATCCCAGATGTCTTTTTGTTTGCTTACTTATTTTTCCAGCCTTGCTTTTTGAACTGGGACTTCATGTCAGGTACTGCATACTTTTGGAAAAAATGTTGGGGCCTTTTTTGGTCCTGATGTGTATTCTGTGGGGGTGTCCTGTGCTGCTCACTCTGAATATTGAGCATTGTGTTTTCAAAAGATTTCAGTTATGGCTCAAATCCAGGACCTGCTTTTATCTTTTTTTTATCTTTTATCATACCTTAGCAATCTGATCTAGTGCAAAGTTTGATTGCTGCCTTTTTGGGCTGATTTTGGAAGCTTCTAACTGGTTTGAGTCTGGGCAACACCCACTGAAGGTGTAGTCTTTGTTGAAGCTCCATTAGACTTTTTCCTGGTTCTAGTTCCTGCCAGCTGTGTGGAATATTTTGCAGGTTCATCATGACAGAACAATAGGCTCACCCTTTGAGCTCCTTAGCCTGGCTACGTAGCTGTCAGTCCCACCCTGTGTCAGTCAGTGGGCTGAAAATGAAATCATGATTTAAGGTCAGATCCTCACGGCTGCAGGCTGCCTTCTTCCATAGTACACAGTGTCAGGCCCAGTCCTGGATCTGCACCTCTTCTTCCTTATCTTGTTACATAGCCCCTTAGGCCCCAGCATAGTCCCTTTGTTGGAAGGCTCTCTCTCTTTGAGTCCTCTTGGCTCAACCCTTACCATAGTAAGAAGCCTTTATAGAAGAGGACAGAAAATAGGAAAGACTTATGGAAAAGAGGCAAAGCTGTGATTCCTAAGAAAACCAACATAATTTTAGTCTCCCATCAGGTGTCTCAGATAACATTAAATATTAAATATAGCTTGATTAAAAGGAAGCGGTGATGCATAGAGGGTTGGCCTTGAAATGAGGAAGCAGTGGTTCAATTTCTGCCTTTGATACATACTAGCTATGTGACCAAGGACAAGTTACCTATCTTAGAGCCCCAGGCAAGTCTCTATGACTATAAGTTACAAATGAGTTGCTAACTTGCACTGGTGCAAGAACTTACCATACCTGAAGTTCCCCAAACTGATGAAACAATAGGTCAGCTAGGTGGCACAGCTTATAGACTGTTTTCCTTGAAGTCAAGAAAATCTGTGTTCAAATCCAGCCTCAGACACTTATCAGCTGTGTGACCCAGGACAAATCACTTGATTTAGTTTCCTTATCTATAACATGGGAATAATAATAGCACCGACCATCTAGAGTTGTTGTGGGGATAAAATTGGATAATATTTGTTTCTTGCTAGGCAGTGGAGTTAAGTCTCTTGCCCAGGGTCACACAGCTAGTGCGTGTTATGTGTCTGAGACTGGATTTGAACTCAGGTCTTCCTGACTCTAGGGCTGGTGCTCTATCCACCGTGCCACCTAGCTGCCCCCTTTACTGCTTCCTTTTGCTTCTCCGTCTTTGTTGGTATCCTCAGTGTTCTGGTATTTACCAAAAACTGCACTATTATATTTGATTGCTTCTGGTTCTTGCTTATAGTTTTTTTATTGGCACTTCTGAGTTTTTCAAATTGTGGGACCAGCTGCCTGGGGGAATGAGGGTGGTGGAGAGGGTTCATGCTAGGAAGATCTTTTCAGGGATGAGTTTAAGCAGTTGCAAGAATTATTGTATATTTTCATTCTGTATAGATATGTCTGCATTTTATAATAAGAACAGTTTAAAAAGAAGTCAACCAAAACATGACTAACAAGGTGAATTCACTTCAACTAGTAATTATTATAGTCCAGTGCTTATTTAATATGGCATTTGCAAAAAAATCAAGTTAGAGATGTTGACAGTAGAGACTATTAAGTAATAGAAATATAGAAACACAAAATAAAAAGCCCACACCACAGATAATGCTATTGATAAATATTAAAAATCACTTTGTACAAACGCTTTTGCTGCAGATAGTATACTATCTTTTTGTTTTTGTTTGTTTTTTTGCTAGGCAGTGGGGTTAAGTGACTTGCCCACAGTTACACAGCTAGTAAGTGTCAATTGTCTGAGGTCAAATTCGAACTCAGGTCCTCCTGACTCCAGGGCCAGTGCTATATCCACTGTGCCACCTAGCTGACCTGAAAGTACATCTTGAAAGTAAAGTGTATATCCTGAATATGTTAGCAAGATAGTAGAATTTCCTAGAGAAGATTAATGCTAATACTAAATTACACCAAACTTTTAAAAAAACTGTATATCTTTTTCAAAACACAATATAAGGATAGTGGCTATTGTGCAAATGTTCTTTTGTTGGTGCTATCAGTAGGTTAAAATGATGTTGTAGTAAAGTCATATTAAAACAGCTTTAAATGATTTCATTTTCAAAAACATGACGGGAAGAAGAATTGTCCGTATGACCTTTGCAGCCAATTAATTGAGAAACGAAATCTTTCTATTTTGCGTTACAAGTTGATAAAGCAGGAAGATGTAGCTTAAATGCTTATTTAATTATGTGGTATGTTGTTGAAACTGATGTTAAGAAAGATTTGTATTTTAGATAAATAAGTACAAGATCCTTAAATTCATACTCTAAGAAAGATAAAATGTTCCTTTAAAAGTTAGAGCTATATAATAAATTTGTAGGATAATATGTTTGTTATATTAGTTAATTTAAAAAAATACTTGTGTTTCAAATAAAGCAGAAAAAGTAAAGACTTGTTTATTAACCCTGTGACCAGTCTATGAAAGTGTTTCTCATTTTATTTTTTATAAAACATTGGCTTTGGAGTCAGAGTACCAGGGTTGAAATCCTGTCTCTGATACTTACTGCCTATATGACATTAGGCAAGATATATAGACCCTCTGGGCCTCTGCTCTAGATGAGAGAGTAGTGATAACAGAAGGGGCAGTCTGTTGGAGGAGATGGGATAGAATGGAATTACTTGAACAAGTAGAGGGGTTGGCCTTGGCCAAGAAAAGGGCCACCTTATCTCTTCATATGAGATAGGAGTAAAGGAGGAGAAATTGGGGGAAGTTATCTTAGTTTTGTAACATGAGAAGAAAAGAGAGCCTTGTCAATAAGTGACCTCAAATTTTTTTTCCAGAAAAAGCCATTGTAGGTTTGGGGAGAAGTGAAAAGGTTAAGAACTGTTTTGGAGTGTGGGATAGTGAGTTAATTAGAGAAGCACAGGAGGATTGCCTAAAAGCCTTCAGGACCCATTTGAAATTTGGAAACATAAATTTGTAGTGGTCCCAGTAGGATCCATTGCACGAAAGTAGGAATGAAGGCAGCAGATGGTGGAAGTGATCCAAGGCTGAAGCTGAGCAGGGCACAATTGTGATAGGATGAGGGAGCAAGAGACTCAAGAGAGAGTTCATTGATCATCCCAAGGGGTCAAGATGAGGAAAGCAGAAAGAGCGGGGGATAGTGCAGGGGTGATGTCCTGGGAGAGAACTGAGGTTTGGAGGGATCGGAGGGAGCACACGTAGTAAGTGCTGGAGAGGTGTAGAATCATAGCTGATGACAACTCATGTTGAAAGTTAACCTTTGAGGCCTAAAGATAATTGGTTACGGATCTCTCATTGATCAGTCTTGGGGTCAGGAAGCAAACCTGGCTAACTAAATGCATCATGGGACTTTCTGTTCTCACAGGGTAGATGGGTTCTTTATCTGATATGGTCAATCCAAAGCGTTGTGTCCCCATTTTTATTTCTCTCTTTTTTTGGTTAAGTAATGCTTTAAAGAATGTATCTAGTGTGATAACTGAGGCAATGAAATTTTCTAAATTCACCCATCTATACTTTACTATGTATTAAGATCTAATTCCCCTAAGTATCTTTAGTCGTAATTGCACCTTCCCCTTTCAGGTATGAGAGAAAGGCAATTATTGCTGTCTTGTAAAAACAGAGTGAAGTTTATATTAATTTAAATGTTCTTGAAGTTTTACAGTTCATTTTCTATCAGTGCCTTTACTGATCTTGTTGACTTCACATGCTCTAATGAAGGATTTTCTTTCAGCACCACTGTAGCAGCTATTCATATTCTGTTAAAGTTGGCAGTACCGCCATCTTTTTAATATATCCTGTTCCATTGTTGTTCTGAATCATCAGGTGGATGCACTTCGATTACGGCTGGAGGAAAAGGAAACCATGCTGAATAAGAAGACAAAGCAGATACAAGAGATAGTTGAGGAGAAAGGAACCCAAGCAGGAGAAATACATGATCTCAAGGATATGCTGGATGTGAAGGAGAGGAAGGTCAATGTTCTACAGAAGAAGGTGAAGTGCATGTCTCATAACTCCACACCACACCTTTGATCACATCTTCATTCTTGCTACCAAATAATAGCTAAGCCAAAATGTCTTTCTTACTCCTCTGTTTACATTTTTGAGATTAGTGTGAGTGGATTACTAATGGTAAACTGTTTTGCTTAGTTTTTTGTTGTTGTTGTTATTTTTTGTTTATTTGTTTTTGGTTAGACAATGGGGTTAAGTGACTTGTAGCACAGCTAGTAAGTGTTATGTGTCTGAGGCTGGATTTGAACTCAGGTCCTCCTGACTCCAGAGCCGGTGCTCTATCCACTTCACCACTTAGCTGCCCCATTTTTAAAAAGTTCATTTAGCTCATTTTTGGTAATTTTTCATGTATCTTCTGGGCTTCTGTTGTACAGAGCAATATTTCTCAAATGCTTGGTTTAATTTCCTATCTTTTGCCTCCAAGTTTCCTAATTTTCCATTTAGCCTATGAATAACTTACACCTACAAGCTTTTTTCAATTAGCTAATTAGTAGCTAAATTAATTTTGAAATATTTTTGTGGAGAGATGATATAGTTGGTGACTTCATTTGTGTGAATGACCAGATTCCAATTTGTAGGAAAGAGGCTATAGTGATTCATTTTGTAGCTTGGTGAGATGTATTTAGGCAAAGAAAGGGCTTCTTTCCTTTTCTAAAAAATATACATCATTAAAAATTCTATTTTAAATACAAATGCTGGCCCTGAAAGTTGATGGGAAAACTTAATCATAATCATCCCCTATAATTTAACCCAAGAGATAACATGGCCTAAAGTATAGACAACTGGATGTGGTACTCACTCCGTTTTTAGGTTGTAGTTAAACTTTGGACTTACATTCATCTTTTTAATGGACATTCTAGTGATGGTATTTTCACTTAACGAAATGGATAGCAGATGAACAGTTGTAAAAAATGAGAGTGTTGAAAATTTTAGTGTGTGCTATGTAATATTACCATTGAAAATAATTCACTAATATGTCTCTGAAGTCTTTACTGTAAAATAGCAAGGCTACATTAAATTATCAGATTTTAAAGTAAGCTGAACTAATTGGAAAAGATACAAGTATAGCCCAAAACATTTCCCAACTCGTACTTGGAATTTACTTCAATTTGGTTTTCTGTCAACTTCAAATTTCAAATTATGATGGAATTCATAATTTGATCACTTGTAAATATGGTGATTACATTATGATATTAGTTATACTTAGTCTCAGATGTTTTTATTGCCTTCCATTAACTTCCTACTTGCGAAAAGGTAGAAAAGATCATTTTTAGTTAATGCTTCCTAGCTTTGTCTTCAGATTAATTGATGTGCTTAGTTACTCTGTTAGGTGACTAGGTTGTTAGGAGTCTATGAATAACTGTACTATCCTTTGGATAAGTTTTAGCAAGCTCCTCCAAACCTTTTCATCCTTCCTCAAACTTCTGTGCCTCCTTCTCTTTCCTGCCCGCAGCTGAAATCCTTGCCACATATTTTACAGAAAAAAATCGAAGCCATTTGCTGTGAACTCCTTCTTCTCCCCTCTTCTTCTTCTCTTATCACCCAGATGCCTTCTGCTATTATCTCCTTCTTCATCCCTGTCTTGTGGTGAGATAGTCTTATTCCTTACAAAGGCTAACCTTTCTACCTGTTCAGGTGATGCCATTCCATCCTTCTTCTTATGACAGATTGCCTCTCTGTCATTCCCCACTGTATCACTTCTCTTTAATCTCTGGCTCATGCCCTACTGCCCATGTATCCCCCATTCTGGAAAAACCCTCACTGGATTCTTTTATCCCTGCCAACTGTATCTTTGCTGCCCTTCGCAGCTAAACTCCTTGAAAAGGCCATTTACAATAGGTGCCACTTTTTCTGTTCAATCTGTCTTCTTACTGTAACATTCCACTGAAACTACTCCCTCCAAAGTTTTCAGTGATCTATTAGTTGTCAAATCCAGTGGCCTTTTCTCAAGCCTCATTCTCCTTGAACTCTGCGGCCTTTTGATGCTGTTGATTACACTTTCTTCCTTGATGCTTTCTTCTCTCTAGATTTTTGAGACACCACTCTCTCTTGGTTCTCCTCCTACCTATCAAACTGCTTCTCTGTCTCCTTTGCTGGATCTTCATTCATATCATTCCCTCTAACTGTAGGTGTCCCTTAGGGTTCTGCTTTGGGTCTTTTTCTTTTTGCCCTCTATACTACTTCACTTGATAATTTCATCAGCTCCCATGGATCTACTTACTATGTCTGTGATGATGATTGTCTGTTTAATTTAAATCTCCTTTTTATTGTTACATTTTCTCCTTCTCTCTGCCCTTTCCCCTTCCAGTTGAGAAGGCAAGAAATTTGATGTTATGCAAAACATATTTCTGCATTAGCCTTGTTCTAGAAAAACAAACAAATAAGAAAAATAAAGACAGAAAAAAAATCTACACTCTCAACCCATTAGTTCCCTGTCTGGGGGTAGATAACATTTTATGTCATGAATCCTTTTGAGTTGTAATGTGTCCAGGTATCCCTGGAGTCAGGAATACCTGAGCTCAAATTTGACCTTAGATACTAACTAGCTGTGTGACCCTGAGCAGGTCACTTAACCTTGTTTCTCTCAGTTTCCTCATCTGTAAAATGAGCTGACAAAGGAAATGACAAAACACTCCAGTATCTTTGTCAAGAAAACCGCAAATGGGGTCTAAAGAGTCAGACACGACTGAAAACAGCTAAACAACAACAAGATGTTTTTCTGGTTATGCTCATTTCACTTTGCATTAATTCATATAGGTCATACTAGGTTTTTCTGAAACCATCACCCACATCATTTCTTACAGCACAGTAGTATTCCACCACAGTCATATACCACAACTTGTTCACCCAACAGATGGACATCCCCTCAGTTTCCAGTTCTTTGCTATCACAAAAAGATCTGCTATAAGTGTTGCTGTACATGTAGACACAGATGTAGTAGTGGTATTGCTGGGTCAAAGGCTATTCACAGTTTTATAGCCCTTTACAGCCCTTTTATAGATGTTTGGGGATAGTTCCAAATTGTTCTCCTGAATGCTTGGACTAGTCCGCAGCTCTGCTAACAGTACATTGAAGCACCTATTTTCTCCTGTCTCCTCCAGTATTTGTCATTTTCTTTTCTGCCACTTTAGCCAGTCTGATGGGTGTGAACTGGTGCCTCAGAGTTGTTTATTTTGCATTTATCTAATTATTAGTGATTGAGACCCTTTTTTCATATCTATTAATAGCTTTGATTTCTTCCTGTAAAGACCCCCTGTTCATATCCTTTAACCATTTATCAACTGGGGAATATGTTGATGATTCTCAAGTCTACCTATCCTGCCCCAACCTTTCTGTTGACCTCCATTCTCACATCTTCAGTTGCCTTTTAGACATTTCAAACCGAATGTCTGGTAAACATCTTAAAATCCACATGTCCAATACCAAACTCATTATCTTTTCCCCTAAAACCTCCCCTTTTGCATCTTCCTTATTATTGTTGAAGATAACACCATCCTTCTAGTCCTTCATGCTCATAACCTGGGAGTCATCTTCAGGTCCTCATCATCTCTCACCCCTTTATATCCAAGCTGTTACCAAGACCTGTTGATTTCACCTCTTCATCTCTCATATATGCCCCCTTTTCTCCCTGACACTGCCCTCGTCACCTCATGCCTACATACAGTTATCTAATTGTAATAGTCTGTCAGTGGGTCTGCCTGCCTCAAGTGTCTTCCCCACTCCAGTCCATCCTCTATTCAGTCACTAAAGTGATTTTCCTAAAGCACAGGTCCAACCATATCACTCCCCTACTCTGTAAACTTCAGTGGCTCCCTGTGGCCTCCAGTGCTTTCTTTGACATTCAGAGCTATTCATAAGCTGCCCCTGTCCCCATCCACCCTTACTTTCGCATTCTTCTTACACCTGAGTCCCCACTACATATTCTTTGATCCAGTAGAACTTTCTTCTCTCAGTTACATGAACAAAACACTCCATCGCTCACCTCTGGGCATTTTCTCTGACTGTCTCTCTTGCCCAGAATGCTTTCTCTCCTCACCTCTCCCTACTGACTTCCTAGCTTCCATTAAGACTCAACTACAATCCCATCTTTTAGAGAAAACCTTTTATAACCCCTCTTAATTCTAGTGCCTTCTCTCTGTTAATTGTTTCCTATTTATCCTCCATATAGTTTGCTTTGTATATATTTGTTTTCATGTTGTTTCCTCTATTAGATTGTAGGTTCCTTGAGGTCATTATGGACTGTTTTGTGCTTCTTTTTTGAATCACTAGTGATTAGCACAGTGCCAGGCACACAATAGATACTTAATAGATGTTTGTTGATTGTTTATTATTTGATTCATACATCTAAACCAAAATTGTTCAGGTGGCTAATGGATAATTAGAGTTATTCCCATGTTAGAGATGATTGATGAAATAAATGAGAGGTGATGTAGGTATTTGTTGTTTAGTTGTTTTCAGTCATACCAACTCTTTGCGACTTCTTTTGGGCTTTTCTTGGCAAAAGATGCTGGAATGGTTTGCCATTTCCTTCTCCAGCTCATTTTATAGATGAGGAAGCTGAGAGAAACAAGGTTAAGTGACTTGGCAGGGTCACACAGCTAATAAGTGTCTAAGGTTGGATTTGAATTCAGGTCTTCCTGACTCCAGGCCTAGTGCTCTATCCACTGTACCACCTACCTGCCCCAAGTGATTTAGGTCACTGGTTTACAGTTTAACAAGTGACTTAAGATGGGGACAGCTAGGTGATGTAGTGGATAGAACACTGGCCCTGAAGTGAGAAGGACCTGAATTCAAACCCGGCCTCAGATACATAACACCCACTAGCTGTGTGATCTTGGCCAAATCACTTAACCCCAGTTGCCTTAAAAATAAAATGGCTTAAGGTGTAATGATTATTGAAAGTGACAGCTGAAGTTGAAATTCCTTGTTGTACCTTTTGTTTATTTTTCTTTTTTTAATTAAGTTAATTTTTTTCCTGTTAT